ACTGCTTTTACAGAATAAAGTGAGTTTGGATGGATTAGTGGAAACAAGAGTTAAAAGTAAAAAATGTGAACTCTGTTCTTAAAGGAATAGCTCCAGGGTGGCAGATTCTACATAACTATGTTGATAGTCCTAATGGAAGGATTTGGTTGATATGGGATGATAACTGGTATGAGGTCAAGAAGATTAATAGCTCAACTCAAATGTTGCATTGTCAGGTAAATGAAAGAAGTAAAGGCCACCAGTTTATTTTAACTGTAGTGTATGGCTTTAATACTGTTGAATAGAGAAAAAGTTTGTGGAATGTAATGGAAACAATGGCAAAAGGTATATATCAACCTTGGGTTATAGTAGGGGATTTTAATGCTATACTCTATACTAAGGATAGATTAGCTGGTGTGCCTGTTACTACTAATGAGATAAAAGATTTGGGTGAGTGTGTGAGAGACATGGGGGTTATAGAATTGCAGTGGACAGGGAATTACTACACTTGGACTAACAAACAATGTGGGAAGGATAGAATTTCCAGTAGAATAGATAGAGCATTTGGAAATGATGAATGGATGGATAAATGGGGGCATGTAAATGTAGATTATGGGATTCCTAGCATATCAGATCATAGCTCTATGGTGTTAGTTCTTCAAAAAACTCAGCAGCATGGGAAAGGTAGCTTTAAATTCTTCAATGTTTGGACTGAGCATGAGAGTTTTATGGAAATGGTAGAAACTATCTGAAAAAAAAGAGTATGGTTATAACAAAATGAAGCAGGTGTGGTGTAAATTGAAGGATCTTCATCATGTGCTAAAACAGTTATACAGGAAAGAGTTCAAGTATATTGGGAAACAGATTTATATGGCTAGAATAGAGGTTGCAAATGTTCAAATCCAGCTAAATGAGCAAGTTACTGATGAGTTAATTGTGAAGGAGAAAGAGTTGTTGATTAAGCTCGAAAAATGTTCATTGATTGAAGAAAGTGCTCTGAGACAGAAATCAAGGATCAAATGGATACAATTAGGGGATGCAAATAACAAGTATTTCAGTTCAGTCATTAAAGAGAGAAATCAAAAGAAACAAATAAGAAGTATTATGTCCTTAAATGGTAAGATGCTTTATGATCCACAGGGAATCCAAGAGGAGTTTGTGATGTTTTATAAGAGTCTTATGGGATCTTCAGCAGGTAAGTTGCCAGCCATTAATGCACAAGTGATGAAAAGAGGGCCTACATTGACGAAACAACAAAGATTACAATTGTGGACTGCAGTAACTGATCAAGAGAGAAATGATAAAGCACCAGGATAGATGGACAATGCTTTGTTTTTTAAGAATACTTGGCAGATTATTAAAGGGGATGTCACTGAAGCTGTTAAGGGTTTCTTCACAACTGGAAATCTTCACAAAGACTTCAATTGTACTCTAGTGTCTCTCAAACCAAAAGTTCAGAATCCTAAAACTGTGAAAGAGTATAGCCCTATAGCTTGTTGTACTGTGATGTATAAGATCATTTCTAAAGTGTTAACCAACAGGCTGCATGGGGTGATTCAGAGTGTTATTTGTGACAGCCAAGCAGGGTTTATCCCATGAAGATAAATTGCTGATAATATAGTGCTTGCCCATGAATTGGTTAAAGCTTATACTAGGAAGCATATTTCTCCTAGAATCATGCTGAAGATTGATCTGCAAAAAGCTTATGATTCAGTGGAGTGGGACTATTTGGATCAAGTAACGTTTGGGTTAGGCTTCCAGAGATGTTTGTGCAATGGTTAACGAAATGTGTTAAAATAGTGAACTACTCCATAGTATTTAATGGACAGACTTCTCAGAGTTTTGATGCAGCTAAAGGATTGAGGCAAGGAGATCCAATGTCTCCCTTCCTATTTGCTATAGCTATGAAGTATCTTAGTAGGCTTCTTAAGGGCCTTAAAGAAGATAAACAGTTCAGGTATCATCCTAGGTGCTCTAAACTTGATATTACTCATCTATGTTTTGCAGATGATCTATTAATGTTTGCTAGAGGAGATCTGAAATCTGTTAAAGCTATTCAATTGTGTTTTTCTCAGTTTTCTCAAGCTTCCAGATTACAAGCAAATCTAAGTAAGAGCTCAATATATTGTGGAGGGGTTCAGCAGGAAGTGAAGAATCAGATTGTGCAGCAACTAGGATACAATATGGAGGAACTCCCTTTCAAGTATTTGGGAGTGCCTAGATGTCTGTGATGCAATGATATCCCCTCATAGAGAAAATAATGGCAAGAATCAATTCATGGACAACTAGTAAGCTATCATATGCTGGAAGAACTCAACTAGTTCAGACATTCTTGTTTGGTGTTCAAGCATACTGGGCTCAACTATTCCTATTTCGAGCTAAGGTAATCAAACTAATAGAAAGTATGTGTAGATGTTATCTATGGTCTGGAGTAGGAAAGGTGACTATGAAAGCTCTAATAGCATGGGAGAGAGTTTGTAGGCCTAAAAATGAAGGTGGTATGGGGCTGATAAACATGCAA